CAGTTTTGGAGCTCCCAGTTTCCAGGAGGGGCACAGATTCCTAGAGAAAATACACACTCTAATAAGTTTATTTTTCTCAGTTAATGTCCCAGAATGGCTCAGACAGTACCCCAGAGAGTGCTCCTCCTCTCTGCAGGTAACTGCTGTGTGATCAGTGCAATGCAAGGTTGCTCAAGCCAATCTTGTTTCTGGCAGTGGAAATTGTTAGTCTTCTGTCACTGGAAATTTTTGAGACTATTGTCTAATGCCTAACCTGACTGCAGTTTGACTTACTTCTGTCCATGGGTGAGATGGGGAACTAGTCCTTCTCCTCTGCTTTACAATATTAAAATAAATATTACAATAAATATTACAAAATTGCAATAAATATTACAATATTACAATATTACAGTATCTGCTTTTGAAGCTTGGGGTTCTTTTGGAATTGCCAAAAATCATTCCTGCCTAAGTGTAGGTCTTTGCTCTTCCCTCACTGCATTATCTCCCATGATTTTGCTGCCCATTTTTCAGATTAATTTTGGTAGAAATGAGTGGGCCAAAAAGGGAGTCTTTACCAAGAACTGGACTTGATGGTTTGACTGCAGGGAGCCAAGGCAGCAAAAAATGGAGCCTCTGTTTGGTCTGTGAGAGATGTCACTGCCCTCTTCATGACAGGGGGTGAGGGGAATACACCTCAGTGTGTATCAAGCCTTTGAGCTCAGTTTGGGAAAAATTGCACCCTAAAAATGCCTTCTTACTGGTAAAGTCAGAAGTGGCAGCACCACTTTGTGTGGCTGTGGTTTTGCTTTGATCCATGTGAGTGTTACAGGTAAAAACAAACATGTTTTTCCCTACCCAAGGCCTGAATTGCCCACCCAGACTGTGGGGGTTGTTTAACCTAGGTGGATTTTTCTTTACACACAGATGTAGTCCCAGCACATTCTAAAGTGGGTACCTCTACAGCTGCTCCCAAAAATTCCATATCTTTCAGCATCAGTTTTCAGATTAGTTGGGTGAAGATAGTACTGGGAAATAGAAAACCAGATCAGAGTCTGCTAGGAGCTCTCAAAAATTAGCCATCTCAGAAGTATTTACTTTTTGATGTACTTACAAAGGTTCATAAAATAAAACATTTTCCACTGATTTTTTCCCCCTTGTTCTCCTGCTCTTAAGAAACTATTCAAAAAGCCAAAAGAAAAGCCCCAGTCCTGTAGTCACGGAGTAGGGACTGACTCATTAGATGGGGTCAGTCCCATGGAGAAGTCAGCCTCAAATAAGAAGGAAAAGCAGATGGTTATCTGCAATAAATATGACACTTGCACAGGGAGCAGCTGAGAAGGTTGTTTTATTAACCTTTTCCACACAAAGGTTTTACTTGTTCAAAATTATTTTAAAAAAGGATTTAAAACAACAAGGGCTTTTGATATATTTTGCAATAATGAATTCTGAGACAAATGACACCCATGGTTTATGCTGCCAGTATGAACATCAGGAAAAAAGACTGAGCAACATCCAGATATCACCAGCAGAAAGGTGGTTAGACATTGGAAAGAGCTGCTCAGGGTGGTAGAGTGACCATCCCTGGAGGTGTTGTGGCATCTGGTCAAAGTTTGGACTTGATGATCTCAGAGATCTTTTCCAACTTTATTCATTCTGGGATTCTGTACATCCCTTTTTCTGGCTCAAGGCTCAATCTGGTGGAAGTGTAATTAAATGTTACTTTCTTATATGCAATCCAAACCCACAGAAAGTTCAAACAACTCAAAAAGCCACAGGTCCTGATTTCTGCCTTCAGGAGGAGCTATTTCTTCAGTAATAAGAGAGCTGCATTTTAATGGTTTTGATTTCTGCAGTTTCTTTGCTGAGCTTCCATGCAACTGAGTGGGAAACAGCACAGGGGGAAAAACATGCACTGTGACAGAGCAGGGTGACAACAGTTGTATTTTCTAGTGATAAACCCACCTGTAACAAACATGTAGTGTGTGTTCTTCTGAAATGGTGCCTGCTGGAGTGAATGCTAAAAGGGGCTCTCATCCTCCAGATCCAGGCAGGTGGGAATGAAGAAGAAAAAGAGACAGGAGGATTATTTTCTGACAAACAAGCTTATCTCTGATGGGCACTGTAAAAATAAACCCAGTTAAACTGGCATGCTCCTAGCAGCACACTCTGCTCTGCTGGTAAATTCCTTTTAGCAGCCACAGTTCCTTGGTATCCACAAAATTAAAATAAGAAAGTACACGGTTGTCAGAAAGCTTAAATTCATCACATGGGTGTCAATAAACTGAGAGAGCTGAAAACCTTTCTGTCTTTGATAATTCTGACTGCTCCAAGTGCAAACAGGACGTAATCATTGCAGATTATTCTGACCTGAGCCACCTTTGTGGGGAAGAGATGGCAGAGGGAATGGAGGACAGGGAAATGAGGAGCATCTGTGCAAGGAATCCTGCTCTCACCGTGGGAAGGGGCAGTCACGACCTACTGCAGGAAAAGGATGAGGTGACAGCAGTGTCACTGAAGGGGTGAGGGACCTTCAGCACAGCCAAAGCACTGAGGAGTGCTGCTTTTGTTGGGAGGATGATGATCCTGCTGTCAGAGCAGAGGGCATCCAATTCCCCTCTAGAGGAGGGTCTGGACATGAAAAAGCAAGAAGCCAATGGTTCACATGGAATGAGCACAGTGGTTCAGGCAAAATGAGCACATGGAGAAAGTGCAGCATAAAAGGACTTGAATAACAAGGACAGTAATGGATGTTATCTAGATGGTGAAGGTGGAGGTCATAAACTCATTTGTGTTTTTTGTTCCTGATGAAGACTCCTCTGTGTTCATCCCCTTGTACCAATTCCATTTCCATGGTAACAATCATATCATCTACCTGAACTGGAAGTCAATGCCCTCTTTCATGCAGTCTTGTCATGGCTGTCTCCTGCCTCCTGACAGTCCTTTGTCCTTGCCTTTTGGAGGCTGCTGTCTTGGAGCAGATTATTCAGTTCAGATATTTGTCATTCTTTCCTTTCTCTTTCTGAACAGACAGTCCTTGGTGTTTTTTTGCCCTTTGTCATGCGGGAGTTAACCAAATGTCTCTTCTGACTTTCTCAAAAATATCTGCTTGTGTGCTATCAGTTATGAAAATTAATGAAATCATATATATTTCAGAGATTACTAGGAAGCTGGAGGAGAATGCCTGACACCTTTTTCTTACAAGAATGTTCACTGATCAGCAGAGCAGACCATATTCACAGATGTGACTCCCTCACCTGTCACCGGTGCTGGAAGCCCAGAGATGCTGCAGCCCACAAAATTCCTGTGCTACCCAAACCCACAGCCTGTTTCCCAGCTTATTCCCTGCTTCAGGACCAGTGGCCTGGTCTGTGTTGTTCTCCAGGAAGAGTGTGAGCAATGCTGAAGTGATATAAGTTGTTTTTGTCTTTGTTACAGCCAAGGTAAAATGTAGGCAGTGAAATTCCCGGATGAGCACAGGAATGGGGCACAAAAATATCTGTGGGGATTGAGAAAAACAAAAGTAGCTCCAAAGTTAATCTTAGAACTATAAAACAGAGCAAGAGTGAACCTCAGACTGAAAAGTGCTCCCCCTTCTTCACCTCCAGGGACTGTGCTCAGTGCCCCCCACAGACTCCTCGTGTGGTGCTGGCACAGTGGCCCCAAGGATGCCAGCTCCTGTCCTGCCCTGTCCTTGGGGCTCCATGCAGAGGACATGGGGTGTCCTCACGCTCCTGGCACAGAGCCAGGGCGTGGGGAAGCAGGGCCCCGGCAGGGTTTGACAATGAGCAGTTGTTTTACAGAGTGCTGGGAGCTCTTGTGCAGGCTGGCTGTGCCTCGCTTTGTTGCTGATGGGATGTCTTGGTGCTCCACTCCCTCTTGGGCTTTAATTCATCATGAAGTTTGGATTTTCAGGGCAGCAAGGCTCAGAGAAGACCCTGCCTGAACTTTTGAGGATTGCACATTGAAATCTTTCTATAGAATAATGACATGGGCTTCCTCTGCTCTGTGATAGTGTGGCCCAAAGCACATCCCAAGAAAACCTTTTCTAAAAAGCATATTCAATCCCTATTTACACCCATTTAAAGACTATTTCTTAAAAGAAAGTTACACATCTTTCCCAGTAAAAGCTCTCACAGAGGTGGCTGATACCACTTTTCATTTCCATGTTTGTGATTTTACAGAGGAGGGATAAAAGGCCAAATATTGCCTTTAAGCCAGGAAAGCAGTGCCACCCACCTCCCTTGCAGCCTGAGGGTGTCTGTGGCTGTGCACCCCGAGTCTGCTGTGACACAGGAGCACTGCTCCAGTCACCAACCCTGCTGACTATGACAAAGCTCCTTCTGCTGAAGGCAGAGTGTCACTGCTGCAGCCCAGCAGTCTATACATGCCTAATTGTACTCTGGAACTCCTTCTCAAATCATTCCCTGATGTCTGGCTCTTCTCTGGAAGCTATTTTTAAACAGAACAACAGCTCTCTCAGAGTAATGAACAAAATGGGTTTTCTGTTGCAACAGCTGTGGATTGCTTTTCAAGTACCATTATTTGTGGTTTTTCAGAGGGGATTTTTTTTGTGTGTGTGTGTTTGTTTGTTTGCTATTAGACATGCAGCTGTCATTAAAATACAGTCTATACCTGTATTTCACACTAAAAGCTTTTTTTTTAAACAAAACATTATCTAATATTTTTAACATTATTTTTTAAAAACAAAAATACCTGGACAAGTCCAGGACTGAGCAGTGCCATGCCCTCACCTGCACTGTTGTGCTCATCTGAGCCACCTTTTCCTGGAGGTGGAGGATAGGATGAGAAAGATTCTGCTATAATCAATGGAAATGACTTGAAACATTGGGGAAAATGCCTCACAAGTGCATGCTGAAAGAGAATTAATGAGAAAAACACCAAAGAGTGAGATGTAAAACCTTTAAAAGTAGTATGAGATACAGAAGAGTTCACCTAGGAATATTCCTTCTGACACACAAACAGTGATGTGCTCAAAAAATAGTGAGAAATGGTGACTTGAAGCTGAAAAAAGTGAATACTTGGCTGCAGCTAATGTACTGGCAGGATCCACGTGGTCTGTACAGCTATATGGATAAGAAGTGTAGAATTTTCATGGAAGTGCTCTAGAAGTTCAATGAATAGGAGTAGCCTTGATGCAATGTATGAGAGTTCTATGTTAAATTTAAACCATGTTTGTGGGGCTGTATATTCCTACACTTTGTGGTAAAATAAACCTCTCCTGTTAAAACCAATATCTAATTTCTCTGGGAGCATGTGATTTTATATAGCTTACTAGAAGGCTTTCTATAGTGATCTTCAGAGTAGTGAAGGTTGTCAAACTGTGTTTTGGACAGGAAAGATTTCTGATTTGATTTCCATGGCATTGAAACAGAAAACATAGTTTCATTGGAAGAGAACGTGTCAGAAATGGGCTATATATTTTTTTTCAATTAACCTTAGACTTTAATTTGGAGGCGGGGGGGATGGGTTGTGCATGTGTGGTGTGTAGTCATCATGTAATTAATTCAGTCTTCACATCTTCTTTATTGGGCATTAAGATTACTGGGGTACATAAATCTTAAGTTATGTAAAATGGATGAAAGTTGTAACAGCTGGGAATAATGTAGTTTTAATACACATTAAAAGGCTGTGTTGACCTGGGACTGGTGGCTTTTATGTCTGCTTGAAAAAGCTGCTAAAGGTTTTAAACTTTCTGCTCTGTGTGGAGTTTGTAAATGATCTGGGATCCATCACCCCAAGCGAAGAGCTGCTTTTCTTTAGGATTGTAGTGTACGGTGGAGTGGCCACCCTGGCGTTTTGGGAAATGCAGTCCTGGGTTTGTGTGAGCATTCAGAGCACCCAAAACATCATAGACACACTGGATGCGGGAGGAGCCCCCAGAAGGAGAGTTGTAGACCACGTGGAGGGTGTTGCAGGCCATGAAAGCTGCCTCAGCATCCCGGCTGCTGCAGGGCGTGTCCCAGCTGTGCTCCACGGCCATGGCTGCGGGGTTGATTTTGGTGAGGACGATGTTCCCCCCGGTCTCTGGCTCTGCATGGAGGGCCCACAGCCCCTGCTCGTCGAGAGCCAGGTCTATTTTTGTCTGTGGGGAGAGCTGGTAGGCAGGAATCCTCCCAGCCCCTGGCAGCAGCATCTGGTCAGCTACGCTTCTTCTCTGGATGTTGAATTTCACGATCTCGTTCAAGGAGCCGTGTCTGTGGTAGAAGAGGAAGCCCTGATAGATGACGTGGCCAGTTCCTTCCCAGGGCAGTGGCAAGGGGACCCTGCGAGCTTTCAGAGTCTGATTGTTTTCCATGAAAGCCATGATATTGGCAAATTCCAAAATCACATTATTTACAGAGCCACTTAATAAATAAATCTTCCCGTGCTTTTTGCCAGGATCTTTCATCCAAGAGCCATGCTTCCCTCCAGTCTTCTTAACTACCTTCAGGGACCTAATACCTGCAAGCATGTGGTCACAACCTGCAAGGAAATAACAAAAGACAAAAAATTAGAATATCTGTAAATTTTCTAGTTTCCTTTCTTTGAATTACTTAGTTTCCTTTTAATTCATCTCTGAGGCCTGAGTCAATATATCAGTAAAGGTGTCAGCAGTGTGGCTATGGTAAGTAGTGCTGAAAATAGTTTTATGTGATATTTGAATAATTCTATAATGTATTTGAATATAAAATACCAATATAATAATATATAATGTATCATAGATAACATATAATAAATATAGAATATATATTATATAATATATAATAATATATTCTATAATGATTATACACTAATATATAATATGTAATAATATATAATACATTTGAATAATATAATTCTATTATTATTATATATTCCTGCTAAGAAAATTGTAGTATCTTCATCTACCTGTAGAGTGTTGGGTTTTGTTCTATTACACCAGTGTTGTCCAAAACATTTGGATATTTGTGTGTCTCAGAGGAGCATCGTTAGTGACTTTGTGATTATTCTTGTCTGTCCTTTTACAGGCTGTAATTTTTACTTCAGAGAACTGACTTCTGGTTTAGATCAACACAGTAAAGTAATCAGATTTATTTCTTGTTGGAGGCATACAGATTAAAATCCATTATCCACATGTATAGTATTTTTGTTTCAGGACTGGTCTTATTCTCAAATATCCTTTTTTATGCATTTATAGTATAAATAGAAACAAAAAGAGATCAGCATAACTGAAAGCCAAAAATCTGGGCTATCTTCCCTTTCACCTTCCCAACACCTGCACACAAAGGAACAAGACGAGAAAACAGATCACACAGCCAGGCGTGTGCGTGCACTGAGGTGGCCTTGGAAGGAGCTGGTGTGGTGTCTGTGTGCCAGGAGTGTGGCTGGTGGAACCACCCAGCTCTTCACCTCACTGGAGGGTTAAAACTGGCCTCAAGTCACAGCTCTGGCTTCTTCACCTTCTGTGCATACTCTGCAGGGACCTTTCAGACCAGAAAGCACCAAGCCTGGGAGGACTCAGGCATTCAGACTCTGAGATCTTTATCAAGCAGCAATCTTCCCAGGAAAAAAAACGATTGCAAAGCGTATTAACAAGCTTGTTTACCAAAGGCACTCATAAATTACAGGGCGCAGCATTTGAAGTTGGAAGAATTGCTTTCAGAGGAGTGCAGCCATTTCAGTAAACAGGACAAACAAAGCTCTAAGGCAGGAAGTTCTGGCAGCAGATGAAATGGAGAAAGCAAAACCAGCCCCCCTGTTTGGCCTGATACGAACCTATTGAAGTCAGTGGCAAGGCTCCAGTTGCCTGTAGAAAGCAATCTTTATGTAATTTGTGTGCACTGATACCCTCTAATCAAAGCTTTTGGATATTGCTGCTACAAAGTGGATTTTTTTTTTTTCTTCCCTGGGAGTCCTCACTCTGGAAGTGCCTTCCCTGAGCAAGCCAGAACAGCTCTCTCAAATCTAACATTTATTGATTAGATAGATTAAAAAAATTTAAAGCTGCTGAATCAAAAACTCTAGGCAGACATAGCAGTATCTTCCTCTGCAGGGGAAATTACCAGATTTTTGTCTGATTGTTGTTTTCTGTGCGAATTTGACCCAAACCCAGTAACAAAGCTGGACTCAAAAACCCTCTTTTCTAGGGTTTTTTAAGAGACTCAGCAAAAATAATCATAGAGTCTGGTTAAGACATGACAGCATAGAAGCAGAGCTGCTATTTTCTAGAGTTGAGGATCTTCCTACTTTTTCTAAGTGCTGTAAAATCTGCACAGGGAATAGTTTGACATCAAATTCAATGGGAAAAGCATCTGACTAGTACTGACAGTAGGGAACAAATTGAAAATAAAGTTACCACGAGCTGCTACAATAAAGTTAAAAGTAATAATTTTCACCAAAGAAAAATGGAAAGTAATTTTTTCCCCTCTGAAACTCTCAGAGAGATACAATTTTCAAAGTGCCTTAACCACAGTCAATTTAAAAATTCCCGATTTTTTTTCCTCTCTGAAAAAAATGCCCAATGTTCAAAAGTTCTCTAAATGGAAAACAGAACTATTGATATTCAGAGCACTGAATTGTGGAGTATAAGGAGAGCTCAGAAGCAGAATAGGTGATTGCTTCTGTAAGCATCTGCCTTGATACTGATTTGCTTGAAAAGTCTAAGGAAGAAATTGTAAATTTATGTGTAAAATTAAATCAGCCTAATTTTGCTGAAGTCAGTGGAATTGTATTTGCTAAGGTTCTTTCACTCACTTTTAAAAATTTTCAGTTTATATTTCTTATTATTTACTTTTAATTTCTTACTACTATGAAAAGAAGACAGGCTAAATATGTCTATAATACATAGTTTACATCCACACCACAACTTTTTAAGGTAAAGATAATTATAAAATGTCATTTGTTTAAAAAAAATCATAGATTGTGCATATATTCTTCATGCTGGGTACCGTAGCACTTAATTTTCACATCAGAACTAAACTTTGCTGACAGCCAAGCCAGTGTGCTCTCCTATTAAAGGAGGGGACAAGGAAGGATGACAGAGCACAACAGTAAAGCAGGTAAAAATTGTAGAAGTAAATTAAGTAGTTTAGTAACTCATGAATTTACTTTTGAGTTGAGGTTTTGACCCTGCCTGTCCAAAAAGCAAAGACCACCATTAATTCTTTAGTACAGCTGCAGTACTCAGAATATGTTTTTCTGGGATTTTGCGAGAACACACCTTCAGAGGATTTTACCTTATTTTATAATAAAAAGTAACTTCTAAAGAACTAATTTGATATGCAGTAGAATTTCTGCAAAGTAAATATTTGAACTGTATTTCCTCCCTCCCTCCCTCCCTCCCTCTCCCATACTCTTTTTGCATATACATGGGTTTTATAAGTCTGGTATTTACACAGCCCAAGCCCCTTTGCAATAATCTGTGGTATTCACACAGCTAATGAAAATCTGTTATCCCTGTATCAGCATGCACACGTGGGACTGTCCACACCGAAGTTCTAAAAAAATAAACTGTTCTTACTTGCATTAAGCATGAGTTTAAGTCTCTTTTTTTCTTCTGCCTCTTCCAGCAGCTGCTGTTTCAGCAGGTCCTCGTGCACTTCCACGCAGGCGTTGGAGTCCATGACGGATCCAAAATAGTCGATGTCCCTCTGGGCGTGCTCGACCCTCGTTAGCAAATTCTCCACTTGCCCCTTAAGCTCAGTTTTGTCGGAGCTCAGCCTTGCTAGGCGGGACAGCACTGCCTTGGAGAACTCCTGGAACTCATCCACGTATTCCAGCACATCTTGGCTGCACTTCTCCAGCCTCTTCTTGAGTCAGAACATGGAAGAGAACACATGGACAGACATGGATATTCTGCGTACATCAGGACCTCACTTGTGATTACTTTCACAGCCCTGCAGTTCCCTCCTTCCCAGTGCCCTGCACACACCTATTCCAGCCCAGGGGGCTCTTGCTGGGTGTCTGTGCCAGGAGAACATCTCAGACTGGCACAGACTTCAAAAGTCTGGACAAAAATCCACTTTTTTTTGACTTGACATATATAGTTTCAGGATGATCCCAACACAGTGAATAATGTGCTCTGACTCCATGATTCAGAAGGCTGAACAATTGCTTTATTAAGCTGTACTATATTACACTAATACTATGCTAAAGAGATACTATACTAAAGAATACTACTCTATACTAAAGAAAACCCTGTGTCTGTCTGGAGACAGCCAGGACACAGCTTTGGACCAAGTGGCCAAGGAATCAAAACAACCTTCACCAGTGTCCAATTAACAAATCACTTTGGATAAACAATCTCCATAACACATTCCACATGTGCCAAACTACAGGAGCAGTGGATAGAGATGAGAATTGTTTTCTCTCCTTCTCTCTGAGCTTCTCACTGCCTTCCCCAGGAAAAGTCCTTGGAGAGGTTGTGCTGCTGCTCTCTGTGAAGAGAGCTGTGGCCACAGACGTGGTTACTGACAGACAGATACTCTGTTTTGCTGCCTAAAGAAAGAAAAGTGCTCTGATGGATAACAAAGGGCTCATGATCTCTGATGACTTGCTTTCCATCAACTTTCTGGAACTCCTCCTGTACGACCACTGGTGAAGCAATCTCAAAGAGTTTTCTGCTGGAAATCTATAGCCATGAACATTTCACATAGATACACCTCTTCTGACCAAGCCAGAATCTAGTGTGGCTATTTTTCACCCATTTAAATGTGAAAATGAAAATACTGAAATGCTACAGTTGAGCAAGTTTTGTGCTGTTTCTTTTTTTTTTTTTTTCCCTTCAAATTATTGGGTGTATTAAAAAAAACCCAAACAAACAAAAACAACCCAATGTAAAACAACAACAAAAAACCAAACAACCAAACCCCCCCCCCCCCAAACATAGAAAGCAAAAAAAACCCTATTACTTTACAACTAAATTCAAATTATCAATGTTTTCCAAGGTAAGTAATAAGTTTCTGTTGCAATGCAGCTGCTTCATAGGTGTCCTGAAAATAGTAGCCCAGCTGCCACTTTGGCAAGATGAGGAATTTGAGCAGACCTTTGGTTGGTTTGCATTGTGAGCTGTGCTTTCTGTGCTACCTCCTCTCTCTCCCCTATTTTATGGACTATAAGTTTCCAGAAAGTTACTTAATTGCTTTCTACAAAACCTTTATTTATAATGCTTTCAAGTGCTGTCATCAGTATCTGCCTCACTCTTGGTCCTGTTCCTTTTGTGCCCCTTGCACTAAATGCCACAGGTTATCTCATTTTTAATGGGTGCCAAAGGAACAGAAATTGCCAAGGGAAGTTACTCCTAGCGTGGCAAAGAAAATATAAATCTCCATCTACACAGTGGGAAAAGAATATCAGGTTAATCCTTCTGTGTTGAGAAGATAAGACTAATGAGGGCTCTGTACAAAAAGGGACTTCAAATCAGGCAAGTTAGAGTTTCTCTGTAAGTCTGAAAATGCAAGCCAGGAGCCAGGGACACGTCAATAATTAAAAATAAACAATATATGACCATAACACACCAAAACTGAAGAGGTATTTTGCAGTACTGGTAGCTTTTTACTGTAGAAAAAAAAAAGCAAGAACTGGTGCATTTATACAAGTGATTGAAATTAATTCAAGGAATTGAAAGGACTGCATTTCAGTCTCTCAGATATTAAGGGTTTATTTGAAGTGCAGATACACTGCTGATTTGCATGAATGTATCTTAAACTACCCTTCCAGGTAGGGATAGCTGCACACAGGAAAAATACCTGATAAATTTCTATCTCCTTGCTAATAAATATTTGACAGCACTTCTGCTGGTGGCAATATGTTTATACAGCTCCTTAGGATGGTCTGTGACAGTTCTACATAAACATTTGCATTTTTAGCTAAATTCACTGATGTCATTAAAAAAATACAGATTATAACAGAATAAAAACATAACATTAGAAATTTTATCCTGCAACAAATGATGTGCTAAGTTGGGTTCATTACAGTTAAAGTTTTAGCAACAATTTTGCTCATTCATTGGAAAAAGCTGGAAATTTACCCTCCTGATTTATCATACAGACTGCCCTGGCCTCAGAACATCCACACGTTTTCAAACCTCTTTTGCTGCAGAAGGATTCATCAGGCACATACCTCCAGAGACAGAAAACGCTGGTCAATGTAGCTCAGCAGGGCTGCATCCTGCATCATGTACTGTGCTGCTCCCATGATGCTCATGAGGGATGGAATCAGCAAGAAATGCACTTGTAAGGGTAACATTGCACCAGAAAAATTTGGAGGAAAGTAGTGGATCAGTTCTGTGGGCAATCCCAAATGCTGCCAGTCCAAGATCAAACGCAATTTTCCATCATCTGAAGTGAAAAAATAATACTCAATATTACTAAAAAGTGAAAAATACTGTGGCTGAAAAGATTAAAAGGACTTAAAATGGCTGTTGCATTCTATCATTATTAAGGAAGCAACATTGGGGCAGAGGGACTGAATGTGTTTATTTCTAGGAGCCAGATGACTACTTCTCAGTTTGTGATCCTATGATCAATCCCAGATGTTCAGCACTGAGTCACATCGAGCCTGCATGCCAAATTTTATTAAATACAAATAAAAGTAATTTATTTTCCCCTCCTTTCTCCTCCCATCTGCTTTCCTGTGTGACCAATCCTACAGTGTGTTCTTGGGGCAGGTCAGAGTGGATTCTGACCTGGGTGGGTGGGACACAGGGAGGTCTGGTGCTTGATGTCTGTGCCTGTAAAACCATCTAAAATAACTCATTTCACTTCCACTATTCAGCCTATTTACAGTGGGACGGGAAACCAGACATAAAACTGTTTTTAAAAGAAGTTCCTCCTCCTTTTTCCCTTGAAACTACTTTTTCCAGCTGAAAACAATACCCTTAACACAGATCTGTGTCCATTTAGTGGAGCCTATGACAGACATCTTTTGGAATAATAATTCTACTTAGTCTGACTTAAAAATTAATTCTAATTAACTTACATGAGCCTACTGCATTTGAGGCAATTTGTATTTCTTTGATTTCATAATTTTCCTGACTGAATGACTTGTTTGGAAAAACTCATGGCCATGCTAACACTATTTGCTAGAAAACCACGTGTTAGGAGCTTAAAAAGCCTCCGTTGTATCTGAAGCCAAGCTGGACGCCTCTGTTTCTCAGAATTCTCCACCTCTTCACTTTTTCCCCCTCCCATTTTTCTTTTTCTACAGTTTTTTTTTATTTTTCATCACATTTACCAAGCTTTCTTTTTCTTTTTAACTGCCTTATGTGTAAGTGTGTGATGATTGCAGAATTCAAGAGTGAGTGTGTGTGTCACAGCAGGCAGATTCTTTCCTCTGTGTGTTTGATTTTTTGCACAGTGGTTATGTGTGCTTTGCAGGCAAATTTCACCCAAGTGCACAGAGCAGTATTCTGTATTTCAGTATTGCTTTACCCCTAAGAGGGACACACAATTTGCCAGCTCCTATTTACAGGCACAGCCAGTGATGCACAGAGAGTTTAATATTTGATTTTTCAGTCCAGTGACATTTTACTTTACTCCAGAGCTCCTGCTTGATGGGACAGAGAGCTTGCCCTGAGAGCAGACACTTTGGGAAGTCTGAATTTCCTTGATTCTGTCCTATGACACCACATGCTGTCTTATTTTCCACAAAATAATCAGCTGCAACACCAGGGAAGATCAACATAGGAAAAAAAAAAATTTCCTTTTCTAACCTCTGAGGTGAACCTGGAACCCTTCAGAGTTGATCTCTGAGTCTCACGTCTGTCCCAGGTAATGACTGGGAGATGAAGATTGTGGAATTCCAAATTACGAACTTCCTCTCATGAATGCATATTTAGAAGTCTAGATACAGATATATAATTTCCTCTATCTTAAGACAGGGAAAATAATCTAAAAGGTAAAATATCTTGAACTGCTGTACACCCTTGATAAGCTTAAACATTCTGCAGATGGAGCTAGATTCTGTGAAGTTGCTCAATCATTTCTTAGAATCACCCACAGCTGAAAGACCAGAAGGGTTCTTACAAATCCTAGAAATCCTTCCAAGGATTTCCATAAATGAGGCATTCCCATGTTTTTGAAACCATGATCTCATGGTAAATGGCTATGATGGTCCATGCACAATCCTAGGAAGGCATGCCACAGCATCTGGTTAAGTCCTGAGCTTTGTTGGGTTTTTACATTTATTTTGCTTTGGTTGTTGTATGTTTTCCACTTCTGTTCAGCCTAGATATACAAAGAAAAGGTTTTTTTCCAGCTATATATAATCTGTATAATAAACAAATATATTTATCTATATCTATATCTAATCTGTATCTAGAGCTAATCTACATTTATATGTATGTCTGATGGTGATTTAAAGCAGGATTGTTTGGCATGCCTGGGCAGACATTGGTCTCAGTGCACAGGACATTTCACACTAACAGAGCAAGAAGTTTTAACTCAAGGAACTCTTTTTCTCATGACCATTATTCCCTTCGTTTGACAGACCTCTCAAACCTTTAAAAAGAAACAAGTTTATAAATGTAGGTGAATATGCCTTTTTCACTGTTCTTGTCCTCTCCCTGGCTGAGATGTTATCCTTTTCTTGTCAATGCTGCTTCTTTGCTGCATTTATTCCACCTTTTTACCATTTGGTGTCTGTTTTAACAGCTGTTAGATATTTTCAAAGGAAAAATAGGCATTTTCAGCTCCATCTGTGTTTGTAGTTTTGATTTCAGATGCTGGATGGAGCTTTATGTGTTTTAAAAGCAGTGTTGACATCAGTTCAGAGTGTGTACTTGATTTGGGGGAAGAATGACATTTCCTTAAGATATTATTTCACTCATATGACTGCATTCTATGTGTTGCTGTTTTGGTTTTTTTATAAGTCAGTTTCTTTCTGTCATTTCAGGTGGGAGAACTAGAGAAGTGCCACAATAAATCAGGTTCTTTTTCCTCCAGTCCCACTCTGGTTTCTCAGCTCCTCACAAGAATCACAAGACATTTTTAATTTTGAGCTTTGGGAACACCCCTGACTCCCAGGGATCCCTCACCCTTTTTCCTTGGCTTTTCTTTGTTTTTTTCCTTGGCTTTTCCTGAGCCATGGATGCTGTCCTAATGCCCTGCCCTGTGTTATTTCAGCCCTGAAAACAAGTGGGAAGTCCCCACTCCTGTCAGTGCACAAATATTCTACTCCCAAACTACACACTGGCTTAAAACAAGGTTAATTGTGTTTTTCATCTTTAACTAACCTCAGCATGCAAAGCAATAACAGATGAAAAGGAAAAATCAGAGTCTGATTCAGAGCTTTCTACTGATTTTATACACAACTGCATCAGAATAATTGCTACTCACCCTGATGCATCAGTGTCATCCCAGTGCTTGTGTGCCCATGTGGGATCTTGTTTGTGACTGCAACTTTGTTTAGTTTACAGCTGCCCATTTAGAGAGGTTTTGATGCTGGTGAGTCAGACTGATGTTTTGTACTAGTAATATAGGGAGTGTCATGATCTGCTTCTGTATTTTCTAATTTTGTTGGGACTTGAGTCTGCAGAACCAAGTTCTTTGCTACTACTGGCCACTAGTGAGATCTGGGAGGTTAGAAAATATCTTTGTCAGAGCGGGAAATCAACACTTAATTCCAGTTCTGCCACTGCATTTGTTTTTCTATTTTTTCCCCTTCAGTTTTATACCTTAGAAAGAGACTCTTATTTCTGTAGAAAAGACCAACACGTGAAGTCAAAGTGAAGTCTTTCTGTGGTGCTCAGCTGTGAAAGCAGTGCAGGGAGTGAGATCAGCCAGGAATGCAGCGATGAGGAGGAGGACTGGCAGAATTTTGGGACTCATAGAGGACTCCACTAGGCGGCTCCCAAGCCCTGGGAATTGCAAGGCAGACTCGGCTGGAACAAACAATTCCAGAGGCTCTGAGAGAGATAGAACACGCCAAGGGAAGCATGGTTTGGAGGTGCAGAACCCAGGAGCCAGGTGGAGGGAAAGTTCTTCCAGGCTGTAGGTCTGTGCCACCCCAAACAGGGAATGCCAGAGCTCCCTGGCACCAGCAGGAGCCCAGGATGCTCAGCACTTGCAGGGAAAATGAGTTGTCACATCAGGACTGTCTCTACAAATGAAATGATAAAAGGGAAATAAAGCTGTACTCTATTCATGTAGATTTATCGTTGCAGTTAGTGTCCTGGTTTGAAAAGCAGGTGTCCACTAGGAAGGCAGGAACCTCCCTTGAAATGGAAAATGCAAACCCCCTCCCTATGAATTATCATAATTTTGAAATTAAGGGGTTCTCAGGCAAAGATATGGGAGTAGGAATAACAGTTCTTTATTAGGGAAAAAATAAAAGTGAAATAAAAATGCAGTAATACAAAACAACCCTGCCAGAATCAGTTTAGGAGCTGAGCCCTGTGTGTCAGGGCGGTGGCACAGTCCCATCCCATGGGGGCTCAGCCCTCCTGCAGTGCCAGCTGTGCTTCTGCTGGAGCAGGCATCCTGCACAAGGATGGAGTTTTCCTCTGAAGCTCCAGGGCTGCTGGAGATGGGCCTGCTCTCCCTCTGGGAATGCAGGGCAGGAGAAAGCTGCTCCTCTGGGAATGCAGTGGGCAAAGGCTGCTGTGCTGTTCCAGGCTCAGATTGTATCCAGGTAGGAATGCTTGGCTCCTGCCCTGGGCGGGGCTTCTCCCCATGGGATGCTGGAATTTGATCAGCCCTGCAGGGACACTCCCTGGCCATGGACAGCAGAGATCTCCTGGAGGGAGGATTGGCTGTGGGAGAGATAAAGAAAAAACTGCCCCAAGAACAGCAGAGAACTGCCCCAGCTCTGACAGAGGGGACAGAACACACACCCCAGCCACGTCTTGCATTTCTAACCCAAGACAGTTAGGTAAATGGTAGAATCATGGAATATTTTGTGTTGGAAAGGACCTTTAAAGCTCACCTAGTGAAACCCCCCTATAATGAGCAGGGCCATCCTCAGGCAGAGCAGGTTGCTCAGAGCCCCTTCTCAGCTGGCCTTCCAGGGATGGGGCCTCCCCCACTCCTCAGATGAAACTCTGTGCCAGTGTTTCATCACCCTCAGTGTAAAAAATTGATTTCCGGTATCTGTTCTGAATCTACCCTCTTTTAATTTAAAACCATTGTCCCTTGCCCTCTTGCTCCAGGCCCTATTGAAAAGCTTGTTCCCATTTTTTTCTATAAGCCCCCTATAACTACTAAAATAATCCAGAGAACTCCATCTGGACATGGATCATGAAATAGTCTGGCATAAAAATCAACCATGTGCAGTTACTCTGAATGGTCTCTCTGTTTGTTGCCAAACTCAGAATCTCACTTGTGTTGATCAAAGACAATTCCTAGTAGCTTGAAACTTCAATTTGTGCAACCCCAGAACTAAACAAACTTTGAATTACACAATTCAATATAAACCAACATTAAATTTTTTGCTGCTTTTGGCTCATTTTCCA